CCCCAAAACCCCAAAACCCCAAAACCCCAAAACCCCAAAACCCCAAAACCCCATGAATAATTTTATTACTGTAAAATAAAAGATTTATCATGGAAGATAAAACTCATCTGCGGGATCCTAACGAAGCATCAATTGTAAGAGATTTTAGGACTCTGAAACTCCTCCAGCAATATTATTAGCTTAGAAACATTTGTCATAAACTTTATATATTAAAACAGGAAATCTTGGAAATAAAAAATTTACTACGCCTTGTTCTAGAATCCAAAATTGCATAACACAGATGAGAAATATTCCTCTCCAGTAGTAGACAGACACGATGATTTAGATAATGGTATGAGTCACAGATAACCTGTAGGACCCAGAAGATTTGTTGGGAGTAATCATAAAGCAGGCTGGATGAATGCTAGAACAGATCAGAAAGATGATTTCAATAGACTAAATGGAGGCCTTTTCGGAGACAATAAAATCAACCTCCAAAAATTCAACAAGTATACTGATAACAAGAGGAAGGCAAATTATCAGAATTTTTATAAGAAGGTACATCAGCATAAATCTATTTTTAATATAACTTCATTTACTAAGAATTAATAAAAATTCCTCACTTCTAATCATTTTATCTTACCTATAGATGCTAGATAAGCAAATAGAGCTTAAAAGAAATAGAGAAATGGAGACGAGAGTGAAGGAAATGAGGGAGGATGTGTTCGCAGCTAGTCTGGGTAAATCAAGCACAAACAAGTTTAACATTGATCCAAAGTTTCAGAATTTTAGAAACCCAATGGAATATGATGTATCCCATTTCTAATCCCATAGAGTGTTGGTGCTTATAATAATAAAACTATCGACTGCTTACCCCACGAGTGGAATGAGCCTGGAATGAGATATTTGAGGAAGTCAATGAGCACAACTAATAATGGTAGCAATTTTAGAAAGGATAGCCATAGCAGAGGCCTAGTTAACAAGAGTGTTGATCATTCCTTGACAAGATATAATGCTCCTCCTTCAATGAGATATAGTAATTTCCTTGGTTAATCATAGAAAAACATTCGTATAATCAAGGCGATGGAAAAAGATCAATGCTAGAGCCTTTGATGAATATTGATACAAGAAGAAATATTAGAAAGCAAATGACCCAGAATTATAAATACGAGCTTGACAAGCAGGTAGCCAAGAAGCAAGCCAAACCTCAAGATATATACTGAAAGTATTCATTCGATGAAGGAATGGCTGTCACTGATGAAAGATCTCAAGCTTATCCAGTCAATCAGAATGGATCAATTGTGAGGGATTCAGATTATGACAGACAAATTACTAAATTCATTGAAAGAGACATGGCCATCGATAACAATTATAAGAAAGAAATATATGATGAGGATGCTTTCAAAAGAAGAGATCTCCGTGCAAAAATAGTATCAAACGTTTTAACATTTAGAAAAATTTGACAAGTACTTACTCCAATCAGCAAAGAATGAATTCTGCTATGAAGTACTCAAACAGCCATAGTATCATTTTTCTTAATCTTTAGGAGACTATTATGATTCACCTATGAAAACACCTCAAGTCCATCAAAGAAAGTCTTCGCATAAGCAAGGAGATTTGAAGTTAAGAGAGAAGATATATTCAAAAAGAGCATCAAAAGAATCAAATAAGACCAGAGCAGATTCTCAAAATATGAGATCAAATGTTGGATCAAGAGATGAGAGATTGAAAGTTCCAAAGTCTTTAAGCGATAAAAAGGCAATCTCAAAGCCAAAGAATGATGCTCCACAAAATAACAAAAGTGTCGAGCATATCAATAAAGCAATTACTAACCAGATAAATGAGTCAGCGTAAGATCAGAAATAAAATGCCATATAGACCTGAACCTCCAGGAAGTTTTATCGAAACAGAAGGATCAAGGAGAAAGAGATTATTGCAGGTTTCTAATCAAGTAAACTCTGGAAACCCATTTGCTAAACTAAAGATGCCAACTAACGAGGCATATATGGCTAAGCATTTAGGAATGTTTAGACCGTTCTAAAAGTTTTCAACTAGAACTTCTCTGATAGGGGTTTTGGGGTTTTGGGGTTTTGGGGTTTTGGGG